TTCAGCAACATAATCCATTTTAGTATCAATACTTTTCAAGAGTATCGAAACTTACCCTGTAGTATCGATATTACATCTCGAGTATCGATACTACGCACTCAAAATGATCATACTCGAATCAATTAAGGTCCGTAAGAGCTTGAGGTGGTCCGTAAGGATAAGACTTAGTTCGTCAGGGACGTAAATGGCCAAAGGGGCCTAGAGACACTCATGAGAGTGGGTTACAGCCAGAGTAACCACAATAAGTATAACACATTCAAACATCTTCAGTGATCACGTATCAGACAAATATGGTTGAAGGGCCAACGTACCGGATGTACCAACGAGAGGTACGAATAGGTAATCACACTATGAGATAATAGTGTTATATACCACAAGAGTGACCAAGAATGTTGGACGTTTAGATATTCTTTTAATTCGATGGTGAATTAAGGGGAAGTGTAGGATTAACGAGTATAGCATCGCTACCCAGAAACGAACCTAAGTCAGATATTGGGCCAATCAGAACCCTAGCCAGTAAGCAATAAAAACAATAATCATCTTGAAGTCTCGAATCACATAGAGATTTCCCTAGAGTCAAAAAATGACTAAAATATCCTCTATTAGTGTATAACCAGCAGTATATATAATCAATAATAACTCAGTAACAGAAACATAATCAGTAATAGTAACAAATAAAACAATAATAGTTAGGAATGTCATAAAACTAGTCTTTGTGTGACACTTGGGAAACAACCAGAACACCCGGGTTACTCTAGTAATAGGGCGATTGTCTTGTTTTCATGTCAGTTCTATAGCACTTCATTGTCGACTGGGCGCTAGATGCCCCAAGAATCAACGGAGTAAGTCGGTGGGTGTACGTTTCCGATACAGAATTTTGGATCTTACCCAGTGGTGCTTCAGCAATGCTAGATGGGTGCGTGAGCTCCGGAATGCATAATCACTCAGTCTTACCATGATGTCAGCCACAAATTATTATTTATTGTGTTGTATCATATATTAGTATCTGTATAGTGGAACCAATATTGCTTTCAGATAATGTATACTAGAGTTAGTCTGGTATTCAGACAATGCACAGTAGATTCAGTATCGCATTCAGGTAATGCACAGTAGAATAAACATAGCTTTCGGATAATGTATAATAAATACAGACATTAGGGTTAGAGACCCATACTTCAGAAATAGAACTAAGCCTTAAGTAGGTAGCACTTGACTAGATCATGCATATACCTACTGCTTTGTACTAGATCCTCAGCATGCTTGGGTTTATAAATTCTTATAATGCTCTAGTTTAGCGATTATACTACTGGGCTTTGTAAGCTCAACTTTCGGATTTTTTTTGTAGGCATGTTAGTAGCATGAGCACTTCGAGGAGCACAATCGCAGTAGGACTTTTAGCATCTCCTTCAGAGTACCGTACTATAATTTAGTGGACATATGTATTCATAGTTCTTTACTTATGTATTCAGATTATTAAACTCAGAGGTTTATTATTTGATTTTAAATTATGAACCACAGAGCCCCGATTTGTAAAATAATTTTATACAATATTTATGTTTTATCTATCATATCATTTAATATGTTTTAAGAAAATAAATGAACAGATCTTGAGAATCAAGGGTTGCCTCGGTAGCTCAATGTGACACTATAGACCCATTTGGATTTAGGGTGTTACATTTAGTGGTATCAGAGCATCAGGTTGAGTCGGTCCAGGACCCAGTGGTCAGTATTAGTAAGGTGTCAGTGAATACACGCCCTTAGGTACTGAAAGTACTTGTATAAGTCTGAAATCCTAATGGTCTTTTATTCCTTAGCCCAAGTTTCAGAATTTGCGATAGTAAATTTGAACATAATTCAGGGAATCAGATAGAGAGGCGAGCCTCTTACCTAGTAAAGTCAGTAAAGGAATTCTGCCAAGGTAACGATTTTGATGTCCCGTCAGGTACAGGCGTCGTAAAGGCGACCTTATTCAGAGGTTTAACTTTCACTCTCAGAGAGGTAGTGGACATTACTCCTAGAGCACAGACAGTTCAATTAACCACCTTAGGTGCGTTAGTGCCAGCAGAATCCCTAATAGAGAGGATAAAAATTTAAGGGTTCTTTGTTTATAAGAGAAAGTTGAGGGTTTTATCATCCAAGTCTTGGTCGGGGGTTGATTTCTAGCTAAAGGAGCTCAATTTTGGGATTCAATCATCAAGGTAGTGTATTTCTAATCCTTTGGAATATTTAGATTCCACAAATTACAAGTTTTTGCTAAGATTTGATTAGTTGAGCATTTTAGGGTTTATCTTTGATTTCTCAGTTAAATCACGTCTTTTAGTGTTAAAAATATGTTTTTAAGACACCTAAAAACCCTAAATAACTTACTAGAACTTCATAATCAATTTAGAACTCAAACAAAGTCATTTGGGTGAATTTCAAGTGTTTCTCGAGCCTAAAATACCTATTTCTGAGTATCGATGCTAGGATGAACAATATCGATACTGGATGAATAGGGATAAAATTTAGGGATTTCAGGCCAAGAGTATCGATACTTTTCAAGAGTATCGATACTTTACCTCAAAGTATCGATACTTTCCAAGAGTATCAATACTTTCAGCAACATAATCCATTTTAGTATCGATACTTTCCAAGAGTATCGAAACTTACCCTAGAGTATCGATTCATACGCACTTAAAATGATCAGATTCAAACCAATTAAGGTCTGTAAGAGCTTGGGTGGTCCGTAAGGATAAGACTTAGTCTGTGAGGGACATAAATGGCCAAATAGGCCCAGAGAAACTCGTGAGAGTGGGTTACAGCCAGAGTAACCATAATAAGTATATTGTGTCCAAGCATATTTAGTGATCACGTATCAGACAGATATGGTTGAAGGACCAGCGCGCAAGCTATACCGACGAGAGGTACGAATAGGTAATCAGACTGTGAGACAATAGTGTTGTATACCGCTAGAGTGACCAAGAATGTTGAACTTTCAGATATTCCTTTAATTCGAGGGCGAAATAAGGGGAAGTGTAGGAGTAGCGATTAGAGCATCGCTACCTAGAAACGAATATGAGTTAGATATCGGACCAATCAGAACCCTAACCAATAAGCAGCAAAAGCATTAATCATCTTGAAGTCTCCAACCATTTAAGCGATCTCAAACAATTTGGGTCAGATAGTGATACGAAGTTGATGTCACACGATTATGTAATGAAGTAACCCAAGGTATTTACCCAAGTTTGTCACTTCTTCAAACCCAAAAGCAGAACTAATCTGATCTTTTAAAGTAGTAGATATATTCCTAGAGAAAAAAATAGTAGTTTTGGGAATGCTCACCTTCTGACCGGAAGCATCACAATTTTTTCAGCGTAGACTGAATTACCTCAACTTGTTCCATCGAAGCCTAAGCAAAAAGTACCATATAACCTGCAAAGAAAAGGTGAGAAATTCCTGGGCTAGACACTGAAGTGCGAAACGGTTTCCACCGCCCTACCGACATCTCTTTTAACAAGTTAAAATTATTAATATTATTTTTTAGAAATTAATTCAATCTACATAAAGTAAAAGTATTACAAGCTCTCAAATTAATATAAATAGAAAATAAATTTAATAAAGAACAATATTTACTACATTGTATATTTATATAAAATTTCATGCGTTAATTACATTAAAGAAAATTTTTGAGAGATTTGTATTTTCTATTGCTGTTTTTTTTAATGAAAAGAAAGAAAACAAGCTAGAAAGTAGTCGCCTCCTTCCAACTCAGCTGTCACGAGCATCTCCAAAGAAGGCCAGATTTATCTCGTGGATCATGAAAAATGTAAAATGATTCTAAACTAATTTCGCCATAATATATAGGGTAAATTATGTATTTAGTATCTAGACTATTAGTTTTGATATGTTGTAGTACTCAAACTTTCAATTTTTTTAAAATCATCCATAATATTTAGTTTTTGTTTCATTTTAATACTCGTCGTTAAAAACTTAATGAACAGACTCATTGGTAACCGCGTCTATATTTCCAGGTCGTCGCATACGTCAGCCAATGAAGCACATACTTTCCAGGTTGCACCTTTTTTGACCCCCTGCACGTGATTATGGCATCTGTTTCATCAGAAAATATCTTAATCTCCCCAAATCTATTATGGGCTATTTGATTTCTTCATCCTTTGATCTCCGTTTCCCGTTTCAATCTTTCGATGGGCCTGAAACTCAACTATGTTGGTTGACTCGTCATCTTCTCGTGGTTCACCGTTCGGATTGGTCGTTCGTCCACTAGCGCTATGCCCCATCAGCTCGTTCGTTAAGTTTTTAACGATAGGTATTAAAATTAAAAAATTAAATGTCAGGTATGATTTAAAAAAAATAAAATTTAGTTACTAAAATATACCAAAATTAATAATTTAAGTACTAAACACATAATTTACCCTAACATCTATTATTCCATTTCACTCACTCACTCACGTGGAACATGTATCAATGGCACCGAAAATATTTAATTTGTGACATGTTTAATTTGTTGAAGTTGTTTTTTTTTTTTCTTTTTTCTTTTACTTTTCCAAAGAATAAAAACATTTGCATTTAGATTTGACTAATTAATCAGTCTTCAGTCAAACCTTTTATTTTCCCACGTAACCTCGTCAAGCTTGTAATTAATTCCCGAAGGCCATGGGAATTCAAAGATCCTTTGCATGTTCTTCTTCGCGACGCAGCCGGTGGAAAATAACATAATTTCGCGGCGACTCAGGCCGTCAGTCAGGCGGCCAGAAGAAAAAAAATTCTAAGAATCAACACTTCGATTTTAGCTTCCCTCTGCCTTTTATTTTCCATGAAATTCAACATTCCAACTTAGAAAAACAATATCGTTCTTTACTACCCTTATTTAGTGATCTAAGTTTCCTCAGCAGAAACACATCTAAGTTCAACCACGTAAATCTTTAGTCAAAAATAACCTACCACATATTTCCTCATTGATCGTTATAAAAAGAGCGCAAAGATTCCCGTTGTTCTACACCAAAAACTCCAGTTAACGTGCTTTGATTTTGCTCTAAAGATTAACGTACTCCTTTCTCTTCGTCAACTCCTTAAATCTTACTTCTTCCAATAGCATGGATGCTGCAGTTAATCAATCTCTTTTAAGCTTTGTTTCTATTATTTTACTGTTAAGCTCCATTGCCCTTGTTGCCGAGGCTCGTGATCCTTTCAATATCCTGATGTCTGAAAAATTCGCCGGCGGTAGTGTTTCCCACATCTTTGATATTGGCTTGTACCTTGGTACAATCAAAGAGTCAGGTCCAAGTCACGGCGAGGGACACAAGTTCACCGATAGTCTGACCTTTGGAGGCATTAAGAATGTTGGCTCGAGCCCTGGTGTAGGGAATAAATTAATCGATTCCGACTCAAATCCTGGTGTGGGAAATAAGTTTACTGATAGCTTCACCCTAGGTGGCATTAAAAACTCCGGTTCAAGTCTTGATGTTGGACATAAGTTAATTGATATTCAGATCATTGGAGGCATTAAGAATGGAGGGTCGAGCCCCGGCGTAGGGAACAAGTTTACCGACTCCGGTCCGAGTCCTGGTGTGGGAAATAAATTTACTGATAGCTTCACTCTAGGTGGCATTAAAAACTCCGATTCAAATCCTGATGTTGAAAATAAGTTGACTCATAGTCCGATCATTGGAGGCATAAAGAATGGGGGGCCAAGCCCTGGCGTAGGGAGCAGGTTCACCGACTCCGGTCCGAGTCCTGGTGTGGGAAATAAATTTACTGATAGCTTCACTCTAGGTGGAATTAAAACCTCCGGTTCAAGTTCTGATGTTGGAAATAAGTTAACTGACAGTCAGATCATTGGAGGCATGAAGAATGGGGGGCCGAGTCCTGGAGTAGGGAACAAGTTTACCGACTCTGGTCCGAGTCCTGGTGTGGGAAATAAGTTTACTAATAGCTTCACTCTAGGTGGCATTAAAAACTTCGGTTCAAGTCCTGGTGTGGGAATTAAGTTAATTGATAGTCAGACCATTGGAGGCATCAAGAATGGAGGGGCGAGCCCTGGTGTAGGGAACAAGTTTACTGACTCCGGTCCGAGTCCTGGTGTTGGAAACAAATTAACCGATGGCCAAACTCTTGGAAACATTAATAACGTCGATCCTAACCCCAGTGTAGGAAATAAGTTTACCAACTCCGGTCCGAGCCCTGGTGTGGGAAACAAATAAATATATAACCGAGACTCTTCAAGGACTCTGGTCCGAGCATTGGTGATAGCAAAGTTCCCGGTGGCTTCCTATAACATAACGAAAAGATTGCTTTTACACTATTAAGTTCGTTTCTTTAGTTCATTTTTGTTGATTTTGTGGTTTAATAATTTATAATGTCAATTCTTATTTTATACTGTTATTACAGTTGTTCTATATCTTCAGTATTTGGGTTTCAAATATATAATATATTAATTTATATATTCTGTATCTACAACTCTTAGTTTCAGAGATTAGACCATTCATTAGTTAATGTGCATGTTTATTATTAACCATACAGTAATTTACGGGCTATTATTTTATCAAAAGAAAAAGAGAAAAATAAATTAGAATTAATAGAAAGGCATAGAGTCAAAATACGTTTATGTTAAAACACGTGTGAAACCTCATATCTTCTTATTAATAACTATTCCAGTACACTATATTTATATACAATTCGATTACATTAGCTAACATACTAACTACCTTATAACCAACTGCTAACTAATTAACAAATCTGTTAACTAACTCCTAACTTCTCAACACTCCCCCTCAAGTTGGTAGTCTAAAGACATCTTTGACTCCCAACTTGAAAATTAAATACTCATGCTGCTGTGCTCCCAAAGCTTTGGTTAAAACATCTGCCAACTGTTTTGCTGATGGAACATAAGTTGTGCTGATCACCCCTTCATGTATTTTTTCTCGGATGAAATGACAATATATTTCAATATGTTTGGTCCTCTCATGGAAGACTGGATTTGCCGCCATTTGCAGTGCTGCCTTGCTGTCACAGTAAAGTCTGGCTGGTTGAAGATCCTTTACACCCAACTCTACTAACAAGCCTCTTAGCCACACAATTTCAGCTGCCACCATTGCCATGCTTCTGTATTCTGCCTCTGCTGATGACCTTGATATAGTATTTTGCTTCTTTGATTTCCAAGAAATTAAGGAATCTCCTAGTTTAACACAGAATCCAGTAACTGACCTCCTTGTCATCAAACAAGCTGCCCAGTCAGCATCACAAAAAGCTGTTAGCTGACATTGTCCTGCAGAAGACAACAATATTCCCTGACCAGGACTCTTCTTTATATACTTAACCACTCGAAGGGCAGCTTCCAAGTGTGATCTTTTTGATTGCTGCATAAACTGACTCAAATGGTGTACCACAAAAGTGATATCTGGTCTTGTATGAGTGAGATAGATCAACCTTCCTATTAACCTCTGGAAGACTTCTTTCTCACCCTGCAACACTTCATCATTTAACTTCTCTTTATCATTTTCAACCAAACCAGAATCATAACCAGTAGAAGTAAGCTTCACATTCTGTTCCATAGGAGTACAAACAGGTTTTGCACCTCCTAATCCTGTTTCTTCTATTAATTCTAGTGCATACTTCCTTTGGTTCAACAGAATTCCTTCACTAGATCTAAGTATCTCAAAACCAAGAAAATACTTAAGTTCCCCTAGATCCTTCATTCTGAAACTAGCATGCAAGATAACTTTCAACTCTTCTATCATGGCAGCACTATTTCTAGTAATCAACAGATCATCAACATATATAAGCATGACCACTATATTTGTTCCTTCTCTCTTTGTAAAAAGCGAGTAATTGAACTTACTTTGAATGTATCCAGCAGCAACCAACGCTTCAGTCAGCCTCATGTTCCACTGCCTAGATGCTTGTTTAAGACCATAAATAGACTTCTGCAGCCTACACACCATGTTCTCCCCCTGGCTGCAGAATCCTTAAGGTAGCTGCATGTAAACCTCCTCAAGCAAATTACCTTGAAGAAACGCATTATATACATCCATTTGAAACAAAGACCAACATTGCAATGAGGCAAGCACCAAAACAGTTCGAACCGTGACAAGCTTTGCGACAGGCAAGAAAGTTTCAACAAAATCCACACCTTCTCGCTGACTGTACCCCTTCGCAACCAAACGTGCCTTGTAACGTTCAATCTCACCATTGGACCGAAACTTGACCTTATACACCCACTTGCATCCAATGGGAACCTTACCCGGTGGCAAAGGAACGACACACCAAGTGTTGTTTAATTCTAATGCGTGAATCTCCTCTTGCATGGCAGTGACCCATAAAGGATCTTTAATGGCATCACTATAACTAGTAGGTTCAACAATGGAAGTGGAAGAAAGAAAAGACTGAGTGTAAAGTGGAAGATGAGAATAAGAAATAAGATCTGAAATGGGATAATAGCTAGAAGTGGATGATTGGCAAGAAACATACTCATTTAACCACAGTGGAGGCTTAGACACTCTAGAAGACCTCCTAACAACCGGATTAATAGAAACAGTAGAAGACCGAGAAGTAACAGATGTAAGAGACGCGTGATTACCAACACTAAGACTAGATTGAGAAGACAAATTGGAAAGATTATTATGTGCTGAAGACACATCTGACATAGGCAAATCAATGACAAAAAACTCTGAATCAGGTATAACAGGTTGAGAAGGAAATAACCTAGACACCAATTCAGGTGAATGAAAAAGAAAAGAATACTCATGAAACCTAACATCCCTACTAACAAAAAAAAGTTTTAGAAACAAGACTAAACATCAAATAACCCTTTTGAGTAGCTGAATATCCCATAAAAACCGAAAGAATAGCTCTAGGAAAAAACTTATCACGAGGCTTAGTATGAGTAACATAACCTAAGCAACCAAAGACCTTTAAATGTAACAAAGAAGGAGGCTTATGATGAAACATTTCATATGGAGATTTCCAATTAAGAATAGCAGAAGGAAGCCTATTAATTAAATAACAAGCATCTAAGACACACTCACCCCAAAACTTAATAGGTACCCGAGACTGAAAACGAAGTGCACGAGCTACTTCTAACAAATATTTATGCTTCCTTTCAACTACCCCATTTTGCTGAGGAGTATCAATACAAGAGGACTGATGAATAACCCCAAAAGAAGAGAAAAAAGAAGAGCATTCTTTGCTGAAAAATTCAGACCCATTATCACTACGAACTATTTTTATAGAAGTCTCAAATTGATTAAGGACCAAAGAAAAAAACTTCATTAAAGAGACAATAGCATCTGACTTAAGTTTCAGTAAATAGAGCCATGTCATTCTTGTACAATCATCAACAATTGTCAGAAAAAACCTATGACCACTATGAGTAGAAATTCTATATGGGCCCCACAAATCTATATGAATCAGTTGAAAAGGAAGACTAGACCGAGACTGACTAATTGGGAAAGACAACCTAGCTTGTTTGGCTAAAGGACAAACCGAGCAAGAATGAATAACAGAATAATCCAATTTGCAATCACTTAATGACATATGATGTAATTTGAGAAAAGAAGCATGACCTAATCAAGCATGTCAAATGGAAGTTTTATTATTAACAGAAGACATACAATGAGTTGTAACATCGAAAGGCACCTTAGAAGCAATACTAAGAAAAGAACCAAGAGACTGAAGAATATACAAGCCTCCTTGTTTCTTACCAATCCCCAGCATCTTGCCATTGAAGAGATCCTGAAAGATACAAAAATCAGGATAAAACTGAACAACACAATTTAAGTCTATTGTCAGCTTGGAAACAGATAACAAATTGTGAGTGAATGAAGGAACATATAGTACGTTTTTTAAATAGTGAGAATAATCAAACCAATAGGAACCAGTATGTGTGATAGGAAGGGTTTTACCATTCGAAAGATGAACAAATCGAGAGGTACAGGCAACAGAATTACTCAAGCATTCAAAACTAGACAACATATGGTCAGTAGCTCCAGTGTCAAGAATCCAGGTAATTGAATTACTTTTAGAAGCAGGTAAAGCACCATGAATCATACCTGCAAAGTTAGCCGCAACAACATTACTAGAATCATGAATATCCTTGTTGAGGAGCTCCAGTAATCGATTATACTGGTATGTGGTAAACATTGGAGCCAAGGGAGCAGGCAACGGGTAAAACTCAGAATAAGTATCATTCTGATCAGAGTTAGCCACCATGGCAGAAGAAATCTTCTTTGCCTTTGTGAACTTGAACTCAGGAGAAAAACCATTGAGCCTATAACACTGTTCACGTTTATGGCCACGAATCTTACAGAAGTCACAGACTCCATTAAACCTTGCACGTCGAGGATTAGAGGAATTGGAGTACATCACCGTCGTATCAGAAAGTGGTGAAACGCCTGAAGACAGATATCTCTGTGACTCCTCCTGAACCACCATTGAATACGCCCGATTAACAGAAGGGAGCGGATCCAGAAGAAGAATCTGGCTCCGAATGGCATAATACGTCTCATTCAATCCCATTAAAAACTGAAATAATCATTGTTGAAGAACATGATTCAAGGCTTGCGAAGAATCGACACAGTTACACGAAGAGACAGGAACTAAAGCACTGTACTCATCCTAAAGTAACTTCAGACGCGAATAATAGGTGGAAACCGATGAATCACCTTGAGTAAAGAGAGCAATCTCTCGATGTAAGAAGAAGATTCGTGAGCCATCAATCTTGCTGAAACGCTCATTCAAATCTTTCCAAACAAGTGCAGCAGTGGAAGCGAACACTAATCCCGCAGAGAGGTCAGCACTTACAGTATTCAAAATCCACGAGAGAATGATTGCATTACATCTATCCCACTGCGATTGCAAGAGTTCAGCGAAATTATCACGAACACAGTCACTGTCGATGAACCCTAACTTGTTCTTTGCTAGCAGCACGATTCGAATCGAGCGGCTTCAGAGGCTGTAATTCTCAATTCCCGTCAGCTGATGCGAAACCAATACAGTGCCAGGCGTATCCGACGGATGAAGATAGAGAGGATGCGAGAAATCGATCGATTCCATGGAAACGGATAGGAAAAAAAGAGCGAATCAGTAAAGAAATAGGGGAAAATCAGAAAGGTCGAGCCCCCACACGAGACCTTTCCTCTGATACCATGTTAAAACACGTGTGAAAAATACCTCATATCTTCTTATTAATAACTATTCCAGTACA